AACACTTTACCTGCACTGGTAGCAATGGCACGGGCCTCAACTTTGTCCCCCATCTTGCGCACCACGTCTGGGGTGGGGCCGATAAAACGTACCCCAGCATCCACGCATGCCTGGGCAAAATCTGCTCGTTCTGACAGGAAGCCATAACCTGGGTGGATGGCATCCACGTCATTCTCCTGCCAGGGTCAGATTGCACAACATCACCATTTGCCAGTACAATAATTCTGTTACAATAAATTCCTGTAATACCTATTCAAATGACTATACTGTTACCAAATGACAAAAAAAGACAGATTTAAATATACTACCGTTCAAAAGTCTGGGGTCAGTACAATACAGTTTTTTTCTAATTAAATACTTTTGATCAAAAGTGACAGTAAAGACATTTATATTACTACAAAAGATTTCCATTTCAAATAAATGCTGTTCTGTTGAACTTTCTATTAATCAAAAAACCCTTAAAAAAAATGTTGTAGAAACAGCTCTTTCCATAAGCAGCTAAATGGCTGTAGTGACTCCAAGAATACAGCCCAACTTCCCCGACTGACTGAAATGTTTTTTTTATTGACTTGTATTCAAGGTTAGCCAATTTAGTTCTCCTAAACAAGTCACAACAAGAGGTGTGGAATGTTTCAGGTGCTAAACATGGGTCATCATGGGTCATTCTCTAAGACACATAAGGTATAGTGTTAAACTGACAAGCTGTTAAAGCCATTGATTTATTTATTGATTAAGCCATTGACTGACTGATTGTCCATTGATTGTTGCCTACAGTATTTAATCAGAAAATGAGATGCGGGAGAACGACTGCCAGTCAGCGATTATTTTACGGCTACCATCTCTTCTTGGCATCAGACTCTGAACCCTTTGTCAGAAGGCATAATTATGTGCAATTACTGCTCTTTGCAGGCTTGTTTGTGCTCTATCTGTCCAATCACTGCAGACTGTGTGTGTATTTTACAGGTCACGAGATACTAATCTGCTGTTTTACCACACAAACACTTTCAACAAAAGCTGCAGGTGTTAAAAACATGTGAATACATTCTGCTTTTCAACTCGACACCAAACAGAGTTCTCACGCTGACTCGGGACAACTGTGAGAGAGTTTTGGGCCAGTTGATAAAACCGTCAGTTAATTTAAAAACTTTTAAGCTGAGTGTTGATTATTATATTTTTAAAAATAAATAGTTATTAAATTTAAGTTTGGGTTAAGTTGTTAATTGTAACCTTATATTGTAAAAGGGCTCCCCGTAGTTTAAAGCATAAGCTGAGGTAGATTTTTATCATTAAGAAAATTATAATTATAACTGCATGCATTTAAAGAAAGAGCAACTTCAGTAAACCAGTACACCACTGTCTAATAAAAAAAAAAAAGTTCGTTTTTCACCCTGCTGTACCAAAATCATACTGAACCGTGGTGTTAAAACCGAGGTACGTACCGAACCGTCATATTTGTGTACCGTTACACCCCTAACTTGAATTGTCCGGAAGTAGTGCTGAGGTCCAACTAAAGATATACTGAAGTATATTTGATTGTGCTAAAGTGGAACTATTGCAAGTATACTTTAAGTATCTTGCTTTTAAAGACTGACATTATTCAAAGATTATACAATCCTCATCAATAGTGATATTAAAACACATTTTACGCTTAACATTAAGAAATGTGCATTGTGCACAAGCAGTACTCCAAATAAAGTTCAATTACAATTTTCATATCAGAAAGTCTTGAGTGACATGTCAGTAAATATGTTAATAGATTTGAACTACACTTAGTATGAAACTGGGGGGAGGGGGGCTGTGAAAACTGTTGGCAGGGCATGTAGAAATCTGAATTATGATGCAAAAGATTTATAGAGAACCACTCAGGTGCAAAGTCTGACCTTGGCCACTTTAATGATGTCTGGTATATGCAGGTAGGCTGCTACAGGTGGCAGCCCCTTCCCGATGAGGTAAGCTTCATCTGCCTTTTGTCTGTGCATCTGGCCCGTGTCCTGCTCAGAGTAGACGGCCACCGTGCGGATCCCCAGCTCTGTGCAGGCCCGGAACACCCGGATGGCAATCTCTCCTGCAAAAGGCATTTTATTAAATACAATTCATGAGTATATAATTGATTCATGCCATGTGTTTTTATACCCGAGGACAGAGAGACAGTTAACATACTAGCTTTATTATTTCTGCAACAAAAGTATTCTATTTTTAGAAATGCTTTGACAAGCAATAAGCAGAAATGTATTGTTATTTAAAAATTTAAAAAAGAAGAAAAATTACCCTACCCACCGTGGCTATTTTATGTTGCTATTTTATTAATTGATTTCTTCAGTGTCACATGATCCTTCTGAAATAATTCTAATATGCTGATTTGATGTTTATTATTATTTATTTTGAAAACAGCTGCGCTGCTTAATATTTTTTTAGAAACATTTCAGATTTCTTTTTCTTTTATGAATAGAAGATTCAAGAGAACAATATTACAAGTATTCATTTCTTTTAAAAAAACTGACTACAAACTTTTGTTTTATATGTACGTAATAGTATTTGGAAAAAATTATATATTAAAATATAATTAAATATATACTGAAAAACTAAAAATAGAAATAAAACAAACTAAACTAAAACAAGTTTTTGGGAATGTCATACACATTCTGAACAGTGACACACCTCGGTTGGCCACCATGACCTTTTTGATGGGTTTGTACTCCAGTGTCTGGGATGCGGTATGGGCGGAGCGGCTCATACTCCACACCCTCCTGATGGCCAACAGGCCCAGGGCAGAGCGCTTTCCTCCCACCTGTAGCAGCATCTAGAAGGCAAAAGCAAAAAATAGACCTGTTACAGAAAGCAGGTCATTTAGTCTGCTGTAAGCGATATCTACTGAGTGTTATCTGCATTTCTAAAGAACCAAAGGGATTAGTAGCCTTGCAGAGTCTCACACAGGAGCTGAGATAACAAGAGTCAACACTCAAACTAAAGGGAAAGTGAGGTCAGGGATAAGAATGCATGGGCCAACAAGAGAACAAGCCTGATATAACACAAATGAGTGCTGCAAAATGTGACCACAATCAAATAAACTATCAACAAGCAACTGGGCAAAGACTGGCCTTGACTGCGTGAGAAGATACTCAAGGCTGTCTTTAAAAATGCTGTATTTCAAGCATATCCACATTCTGCAAAACATGAATACGGTCAAGTGGCCACAGGGCCAAACTGAACCAAATACAATATCCTATTGTGATCATATTGCCTGTGGACACAGCTTCAAAGGCCGAGACTGAACACCTGAAACAACAGCAGCACTGATTAAACTCAGTGGGAAACACTGAAGGATCAGAGAGTCTATGAGGCCTCAGGAGACAAAGGCAGAACAGCATATAAACCAGACAATAAAAGGAGTTACAAGTTACAAAATCTAATGAAAGAGCATGACTAAATCAAAAAATGTGATGTGTGCGCTATCAATTGCAAAGTAAAATAGCTCACTTGGCTAATCTACTATGATTCTTTTAGACAACATGGGCGTCCAGAGGAAGCGATTGTGCACCCATACAGGTGTCGTGAGGCAAAACCCAGCGCTGCATCCAGTGTGCTCTTACTTATATTAAAAATAAAACTACTAACTGCAAAGTAACACTCGATGAGAATTTCTAAGTCACTCTGAAATACAACTAAAGTCCTTTAAAACAGCAAAACAATGTTAAATGCATATACTGTAATAAAATGCAACTAACAAAGCCAAATAACATATTATGCTGAATTATGCTTTTTAGACTAAATAAATAAAAAATACAACACTACACATTTAAATCAATAATTTTAAATGCTACAAGTGGATTTATGCAATTTTACAGCAATTTACAATATAAAAATTAATATTATTTTGAAGATTACATTTGAAGTAACAATGAAATGACGTGCATCAGAGTGAAGACTAAAAAAAGTACAATAAGATCAATAAGATGCATTTAGGAAACAGATCATTGTGATGTTTTTATCAGGTGTTTGAACTCTCATTCTGACGGCACCCATTCACTGCAGAGGATCCATTGATGAGCAACATGTTGTGTCTTGAATGAACTGACAACAATTCAAGGTAAGAGTAACACAGGGCCTTCTTTAACAGGCGTGTTTAGACACTTCTGAGGAGGAATCATAACTGACAAGTCTCACAAAACAAGAATTACCTTCATTCTCAAATCAACCTTTGACTTTACACTTCCTGCACCATTCAGAAAATCAAATTACTTTATTTCTTTTTTTAGCTCATATAAAAAAAAAAAAACAAAAAAAACAGCATATAAAGGTCATAAAAAAAAAACACAACAGTAGAATAAATTAAGAACTGGGGCAGAAGATTCAATACTACCACCATAATATATGTGATTCTACCATTAAGAGCTGTTTGTTTAACCTTGGTCTATCCAGTTACAAAAAAATGGATTTCATTCAAAGCGCCTGCATTTGCAGGTTTCATGGCAGCAGTTGCTGCACCAACATGGCAGACACAGTCTAACTGGATGACAAGCATTACGCACCATCCCAATTGTCACTGTGCATGGACCACAACTACAGGACCATGGAAGAGGAGAACATGCTGTTGTTATTATGAGAAAAGATTCTAAAAAGATCATAAAATGCAGGTGCTTTTGATGTATACAAATATATTGAACAGCCTGCAGGAAGAACCAGCACACAGCTTAAGATTGAATATTTTTCCCTTAACAGAAATGGTCCACAGAGTGAAGCATCAAAACATAAGACTGTATATTTAGGTGAAAACTATTCTACATCTTCAGTACAAACTCCACACTAATAGAGCTCAAACCAAACATTAAACCTATCTACACCAGTCTAGAACAAATAGGTGGCATTTGCTTTGCGGTAGTGAAATTAGTGAGGAAATGCAATTTGGAAAGAAGGTCAAAGCCTTTCCACCATGTTTCTCTCAAGGAATACAAAAAGGGGCAAAACAAGCAAACTAACTGAAAATAATAAGCATCAAAACATAAGACTGTATATTTAGGTGAAAACTATTCTACATCTTCAGTACAAACTCCACACTAATAGAGCTCAAACCAAACATTAAACCTTTCTACACCAGTCTAGAACAAATAGGTGGCATTTGCTTTGCGGTAGTGAAATTAGTGAGGAAATGCAATTTGGAAAGAAGGTCAAAGCCTTTCCACCATGTTTCTCTCAAGGAATACAAAAAGGGGCAAAACAAGCAAACTAACTGAAAATAATTGGTCCCCAATTAACCATTTCCGGGATTATTCTACACAGGTTTATCTAATTTTCTTTTTATCTTACATGTTAGTTATGCGGTTCCTAAAGAACAAGCCCTATACCAAAACGTAAACTGTACTGCGTGGCTCGACTTTAAATCCAAACTACAAGCACTCGCTCAGACACACAGATCTACACTTACAAAAACAATCACACTATGACATGGAAGTTTGAGCCATTTTGTTATATAAAGCCCCTGATTATCCATGAATGGTTATCCACCATACAGTTCTAAGACCACTGAGCAGAGGTTGCATGAGAAACATGCAATTAAATGAGAACTAGCAAGTTAGAAAAAGAGGCAAGCTGGGAAGAAAAAAAAAAAACACAAAAACATGCCAAACATAAAGCATGCATTGCTCTTGTCCATATAGTATGTCACAATCTTTAAAATATTGATACATGTGTTACACTGCTGTTATCATCACCATCATATATGCAAGATTTAAAATGTGTTGTGCATGTAAATATTTTCTTCCAAAGAAAACCAGATAATGTAGGGAAAAAGCTGACAGGAGATCATGTTGGAAAAACAAGCAGAGCAGACGACTGATCAAACTAAGGGAAAGTGGAGGAGAGCAAAACTAAATGGAGAGTAAGAGATTGGGTTGTGAATGCTTGTTGAAGGTTGACAGTGAGAGTGCTGCCCACTGTTTGGTCTGTTGTGCTCCTTTTGGTTTCCAGTTTTTACTTTGCTGTCATCATCTGGACAAACTCTGTGGGGGGAAATAAAATGAATGAGATCAACGTGCCAATCTTCACAAACTGACTTTCATAATTATACTGCAGGCTTGGCGTTTATTCAGACAAAAATCCACTTACATATAAAAATACCACAATGCACCAATGACATTAATATATGGAAATACCTTCATAGTTGACCTGGCCGTCACCATCAATATCTGCCTCCCGGATCATCTCATCCACTTCCTCGTCTGTAAGCTTCTCCCCCAGATTTGTCATGACATGACGCAACTCTGCTGCACTGATATAACCATTTCCATCCTGTAAAGCATTAGTCATTGAAAGAGATAAACATTCTTTCCACAGTTGTTTTTTTCTAAAGAAATATCTTCAATACGAGGCATTTATAAGCGAGTACACTTCACTACCTTATCGAAAACTCTGAATGCTTCTCTGATCTCCTCCTCGCTATCCGTGTCCTTCATCTTCCTGGCCATCATAGTAAGGAACTCTGGGAAATCAATTGTTCCATTGCCTGAAGGGGGGAAAAGCCAACAGATTTAGAAAAAGAGAAGAGCTATTCTAACATGGCATTATTTGTGGAAGGGCTTCCTCACCATCCGCATCAACTTCATTGATCATATCCTGAAGCTCTGCCTCTGTGGGATTCTGGCCCAAAGACCGCATGACAGTCCCTAACTCTTTAGTAGTGATGGTGCCATCACCGTCTTTGTCAAATAAGGAGAAGGCCTCCTTGAATTCTGAAAAGCAATTGAAATAATTTATTGCACACCATTGAAATTGCTGATTTGAGGTTTGAAGCAAAGGTTAATCTTCCATACCAGCAATCTGCTCCTCTGTTAGCTGATCAGCCTATAAGAAGGACACAAGAAGAAAATTATTTTAATAGCACTGAGATATTCTCAAACGATTCCATTCCGTCTGAACTTGCTTAACTGTATTTATTGCGCGTTAAATTGAACGGAACGTGTTTAACACCTGATACCTTGTGTTTTACAAGTTTGTTGTCATTCACGAGGCGTTCTGAATTAACGTTAAGACAAATACAAAACGCGTTCACAGCAGACAATACAGCTGTATTTGACCACATTAACATGTGTATTGTTTTTATTGGTCTATAATGTGGTTTACAGTTAACTTACTTAAAGGCCATCTGAATGGATTAGTGCGCATGCTGTGGGGAACTACAAGCATGTTGTGACCGATCAGATATATTAGAAAAAGCAGGGCTATTTTGGCACAAGGGACGCTACGGGTTTGTCTAATGTAAACGAGGGCGATCTTTACATCTGCCTGCTGACGCCGACATGAGGCGAGCTAGCAACAGGGAACCAGTCAAGGATGTGCTTGTATAGCGCATTTTCTGCTGTAAACACCTCACGCCCATTTGCGATTAGAGAAAGCGCTGCAAAACGTCCCACAGAAAGCTTAAAGCTGTTTATTCCACAGTCAGAAAAATGAAAACTGTGTAACCCGCTGAAGTGACGTTAGCCCGGGAGCTCGCGCGCTTTCAATAGAATGACGGTTAGCTCGCGAGGAGCTAAGCTAACAGTAACGTTAGCCCATTCACACCTATCACCTCGCCAAGGAGGCTCAGCCATTTTTGTAGCTACGCTGCACTTTGGCTATTAGGATAAAGAGTTATAAAGGCTTACTTACCATTGTACTTTAGTGTGAACTACGTTAGTTTGCACGTAGAGGAAATAAACGGAATCCCAAGCGTTTGCTTTCCACCCGTGCGATTGTCAAGCACTATCTTCTGCTGCTGTGCGCCCAAATTTCGATATCACTACGCCTTGGTACTTCGGTCCAAAGTGGGACGTCGCACTCCTTGACAACAAACCTGTTACTATGGTCTTCCTCCGCCACGTAGTCGAAATGTTCGAACTCTAAATTGCGCAGTGAAACTGTCCCGATATATAATATAGATATATATATAACCGATATATTATACGGCGTTGTTTATCGACTGTAAGTTTCTATTTTATGATAATTCTTTTCAAAAGCCATAGCATACAACGGTGGCTTTCAGGTTTGAATGGATGGTCCGGAGAGTTTATATATAGAAGTCTGATAGCATTCGTCAGCTGACCTAGGAAGTGTCTTTTGATTGGTTGACAGCCACCTGCAATGCGTCAGGGAGTCCTCGAAGAGAGCAGTTCTTAAAGAGACAGACGCAGGAAACCGACTAGTGCAGTAAGTGCATATAGTGCTACAGATGCAACACTGGCAGCAGTTCAGAGAAAGAGTCTGCTGTTGGTATTCCGTCCTTTTTATGGTCAATACATTGATTTTGAATATGTTATTTAGAGAAATAAAGTGCGTTTAACTTAAAAACACCCTTAGGTTAGACTAATGCGCCATGGTTGAATTTTAATAATTCAACCATGGCGCATTGCCTAAAAGTAGAGGTTCTTGGTCAGGTTTGTGGTCCCAAATGGGTAATTGACCTAGAAAAGTTTGAGTTGTGAAAAGGTAGAGGACACAAGGAGGAAACTCATTCATCAGAAAGACTTCAAACATGCATCTATTTAAGGTTTTACTTCCTTTTAGATCTAAACTGTACAAAGAATATTCTTCATCAAGACAAGTTTTGTTTCTTGTGATTAGGTCCGTTCTTTCAGACCTCATACATACTTGACACAATTTCCCTCATCACTCTTAGGCACTGAGCCGATCTCAGTAGGGGTTCATAAATCTGTAATGAGTTAAAATAGCCAGGTGAGACGGAGCTCTCCAGATGCATAATGAATAGCTCTAAATAAAGAAGTCATCAGTAGAGACACCTGATATCATGCTATGCTGGAGACAATGAGAGGTGCTCCATTTTATGGCTGTAGATTTTAATAATTCAACCATGTCTTTGTTACATCTCATTATGCTGGCAACACATATGAAAATAGACGAGGGAACCCCACCTGAATAAATTCAATGACAAAAACAACAAAGAGGAACTGCTCCACTTAATTTATTGTCCACAGCTTTCATTTTCATGCATCTTTTTCCATTACATAGAAGGAACAGCAATTTAGGTTTTCAACATTTTTAGTGTGCAGAATTGCAGTACATTTAAAAAAAATAAATAAATAAAAAATAAAAAAAAAAGGTTTAAAATAAAAACCAATCTTTTTTCTTCCTATGGAATGTATTCCAAGTAACATCAAAAAATAACACTACCAGCTTAAAGTTCAGTTTAGTAGTCATGCAGTGCATGTAACCGTACAATCTGATGATATATACCAGTGCTTTTGTACTAAAAAAAAAAAATCAATTAATATTGTAACAGATTGGCCAATCAAACACTTGTGCATGTAAAAGCAACATCCTCACACTAACTGTGAGTTTACAATGTGTCTTTAGGTAGTGTAAGGAAACGTCAGTATTATACCTTGTTCTGGCTTCACCTCTAATTGTGCAAGGTTAAGCACATTACCATCTTTATCATCAGTAGTACTGAACACTACTGTAGCATGTTCAGGAATCTCAGCATGCTTCAGCTGAAGAGTGACAGTTTCTGTCGAGTGCCAGTTGAGTGCAATAAGGTAGCGTTCATTCTGGTCCCAGCTTCGCACATAGGCCATGGCGGAGGTAGAGTTGAACAAAGGCAAGTATTCTCCATGCTGCAAAGAGCGCTCTTTTGATCTTTTTTCACTCACAGACTTGAAGAACTTATGGAAAGTGGTCGTTTCACCCTATAAAATAAATGCATGAAAATGTAACTAAAGCTGGTCACAACACTGAATAGGGTCACTTTGGAGATTCAGCACTGTGTGCACATGCTCCTTACCTCTGTCATATTTTGTTTAGAGTCACCCCATACCATGATCGGATTTTTGGTCACCTAAATGGAAAGATAACAACATTTTAGGATCTGCTCCAGGAAAACACCTGGATCTGTCTGAATTCTCTTGATAAAAATCTTCAGTTTACTCACCTCATCTTGCAGTCCAATCTCATCCCCATAATTAAACACCGGTGTGCCTGGCAGAGTGAGCAGCAGCAGCTGATTCAACTTGACTTTGGCAAGCCCCACCAATGAAGCCAGGTGTCCAGCAATACGCCCACCTATGTTCCAAGCCAGTCTGGTCTGACTGTAAGTGGAATACAAGCGATCAACAGTATTGGCAACGTCCAGAGCAGATATGGATCTTAAAGCACCAGTGAGGAGCAGGTCCACACCAGTTTTGTTCAACACAGCAACAATGTCATCAGGAGAGGACTGATCCGTAACACCAATTAAGACCCTGGAAGGAAATAAGTCAGTTTTTAATAGAAGTATTAAGCACCATATGGAGCTGTTTGGTTGGCAACACAATCTCAAACTAAGAAACAGCCCACTCATGTCCCCTTGACTGAAGTTCAGTTTGTAAAAATTCCTACCAACCACCACAAGGTGGCTCCTTTACCTCACAAAAGAGTGAATGTGCACTAAAAATCTAATTTAAGACTAAAAGTTCAACTATCGATTGCTCACTTTTTCGTTTTTCCCTCTGATTCCGTTTGGTTGTGGATAAGGACTCTGACATCCTCCCAAAGGGTCGGGGCTGCAGTGGACACTTTCTCAACACCGTAGAAGAGGAATCCATCTACACCTTCTTTTAGCCAATGCACCAGAGCAGACTGAAAAGGCAAAAGTCACAATTATTACTCTGAAAACGCAAGTACACATCAAGTTCAAGTGACAACGCAGATTGAGAAAGTCAAGCAATTATCTAGATCTATTGTCATACCTCCAGTTTGACCACAGTGCTGACAGCATCGGCAAACCAGGGCTCTTTGCCTTTATAGTTAGGGGTCAGGTCCAAAACAACAGAGATACCTAGAAGTCAACATAAAAATACAATTAACTGAAAAACGAATAAATATATATAAGTATACACTGCCTGGATCATTGGATCATTATTGTAGTAATTCATAATTAATGTTGAGCCTGATGAATCTTGGAATATATGGACATGGGTACGTCTTCTGACATAGTTGTTTGAGAAATAAAATGTGACACACTGCATCAGTTAGTGTTAAAATAATCGTTACCAAACATACAGTATGCCAGAAACATATTAATCACCGATTAATAATGATTCAACCCTAAAATCTTAGTATTTGCTTATTTAAATCCAGACAGCAACATTTTGGCCAGGCAGTGTATATGGAAGTCATTTTAAATAAAACATCAAGATAACAGAAGTAGCAAATGCTTCATTTTATAATGCAAACTATAGCTCACCTCTCTTGTGTGCAGCCTTAATGACTTCTTGAAACTGTGTCAGATCACCAGCCTCTTCAGCAATCTCAGTCAATTTCAGTTTCTCAGGCTCATCAGCACTGGACACATGGATCGGGCCAATGATCAGACCCTTCATCTTCAACTCATCTATCGCCTTAACCTTTTCAGCCACACCTGAGGGGTAACCAAAAGTCAGAGTGAAATAAATATGCAGCATTGCAAAATATTAAAGACAATAAGGGAATAAATATGGAAGGTTTCAAATAACAGACCACATCCATGTTAATACGGATGTCACTGTACCTCAAATTATTCATTAAAGGGGTCATATGATGCTTTTTTAAAGATCATTATTTTGTGTATTTGGTGTAGCAGAATATGTTGACATGGTTTAATGTTAAAAAAAAACATTATTTTTCAAATACTGTACATTATTGTAGGTCCTCTATGCCCCGCCTCTCTCAAACGCTTCGTTTTCTACAAAGTCCCTCCTTCCGACAAGCGCAGTCTGCTCTGATTGGCCAGCTGACCCAGTGCATTGTGATTGGCCGAACACCACAAGCACTCATCGGAAATGTAACACCCCTTACCATAATCACCAGCTTCATCTTTCAAAATAAATGTAAAGACAGAGCCCGAAAGGGGAACAGAGTCTGCTGTTCTGTTGTAAGTAATCTTAAAGATTCCTAAATGCATCTACTTTCGGAAGGCCAAATAAAGTGCTTTTGCTTTCGCCTAGAAACACACAGCGTCTCCCTGACATGCTGCTTCAACACTAACTGCGGTTACTGAAACCACGCCTTCTTTCTTTGCGTGCACATTTGGGCGGCATTATGCTAATATTTCCACATAGTGAGGTAGATATGTGGGGGCGTGTTAGAACGAGCCATTTTAGGGGGGAGTGGCAGAGTCTTAACTTTGATAAAGAATATCTCTTTGGTTTTGAGACTTTAGTCTTTGCAACTTCAGGGATCTTATCTATGCACAATCAGCTTGTAACACTCCAAAGAGAAAGGAAAACTTGAAATCGCATCATATGACCCCTTTAAAAGACATTCTACCACTCTTCCTTTAAAATCATTTATGCTATTCCATTAATATAGTTCACAGACTGATAAATGCGCTGAGCAAACAGGATGGCATGCAAGCGAATAAGGGAGGAAACCAGACTTGTTGATTCAACAGCATAAAGACAGAGCAATTAATGCGTTTCAACATGTTCAAAGCCGGTCATCCGCCTTTAATCCCTAAACTGACCCATCCCTGTGATCCATTAACACTCCCTCCTCCCCACAAGATCTATTTTGGTTGCTTGGATGCTGGCCCATAGAGTCGTCTGTTTTTACCTATCAACTTTGAAGACTCCGTAAAGGAGTTCACATCTCCAATCTGGTACAGAGGTCCATAGTTCCACCAGTTCATCTCAGGGAGGGGCTTGCATCGAGGAGCTTGAATAATGATGGCAATCGCACCAGCTAGCATGCCCAGCCAACCAAGCCAGAACAGGATCAGAAGTGCCCAACGAACTTTAACCCACCTATTCACAAAAAGACAACAGCAATTAAATCATCAGAGTACCTGCAAATGTCAAAATCCACACCAAGAGCTAACTGAAAGGAAATGGGGCTCCGTACCCTGTTGTTCCAGCTACTTTCATGAGCTCTTCTTTAGTTAACCCAGTGAATTTGCTCTCCTCTTCCGGAATCTTCACCTTTACAATGCCATTCTTCTCGGATACAGGCGAGATACCATAATTATTTGCAGCCTCCCCCTCTGTCATGGGCTGCTTCTCCTGCTCCACCTCATTG